TTGGTTGTGCTTCTGCGGGATGAGACGTGCAGTAGGTCTGCCGCATTGTTAATGTGCCACGCTATAGGCTTCTGAAGTGTTGTATATCTGTGTGGCGTCACCTACATCCGGCGCTGAGGCCCCTGAGAACGGCTTGGGTGTCAGCCGGCAGAAGTCGGGGGCTGCTGCTGAGGCGGGCTGTGGGTCAGGTGACCGGCTCAGGAGTCACCGGTGTCCGTCTGTAGCCCGCTGGTCGACCCACGCACCGGCACCGTCCGGCCGCCTCATCTCCGGACCGTCCACTCGCCCCCTCCCCCCCCCCCCCTCTGTAGGGCGTCCCCGGAACCGCGACCACGTCCGGCGGCGCGGCGCTCTGACGTCAGAGGCCCGGCGGCACGCCGACGGGGCCCATGTCGGCTCAGCAACCACGGCGACAGCCGATAATGAAGACCGGCTCTAGCGGGCCCCCGCCGGGGCCGGACGTCATCCATCCCGTCACGACGGCCTGCCGGCTCAGCTCCGATACAGAGCCGGCGGCGGCCCGCCGGCTGGTGGGCCAGCGTGCGTGTGATAGGACGTCGACCGGCTCAGATCCGTATAGAGCCGGTGGTGGCCCGCCGGCTGGTGATAGAGCCAGTGGAGGCCCGCCGGCTGGTGATAGAGCCAGTGGAGGCCCGCCGGCTGGTGATAGAGCCAGTGGTGGCCCGCCGGCTGTTGATAGAGCCAGTGGTGGCCCGCCGCTGTTGATAGAGCCAGTGGTGGCCCGCCGGCTGTTGATAGAGCCAGTGGTGGCCCGCCGGCTGTTGATAGAGCCGGTGGTGGCCCGCCGGCTGGCGATAGAGCCAGTGGTGGCCCGCCGGCTGGTGATAGAGCCAGTGATGGCCCGCCGGCTGGTGATAGAGCCAGTGGAGGCCCGCCGGCTGGTGATAGAGCCAGTGGTGGCCCGCCGGCTGGTTGGCCCGCCGGCTGGTGATAGAGCCAGTGGTGGCCCGCCGGCTGGTGATAGAGCCAGTGGCGGCCCGCCGGCTGGTGATGGAGCCAGTGGTGGCCCGCCGGCTGGTGATAGAGCCAGTGGTGGCCCGCCGGCTGGTGATAGAGCCAGTGGTGGCCCGCCGGCTGGTGATAGAGCCAGTGGTGGCCCGCCGGCTGGTGATAGAGCCAGTGGTGGCCCGCCGGCTGGTGATAGAGCCAGTGGTGGCCCGCCGGCTGGTGGGCCAGCGGGCGTGTGATAGGGCGTCGACCGGCGCAGTCCGATGGACACACTTGGCGGGCTGGTTGTGGTGGAAATCAATAATCGAAGACTTACAGAAAAAACTAAGTGCGATGCGTGTATCCATGCACTTGTTTGTGCATTGCTTGGTAGTTAACATCCCTGCTAACAAGGCAGGCGGCACATCGATCAGAGCTGCTTGATCTGATCTGATTGCGTATAGTCTGACCGGACCCGACCCTACCAAGTCTGGTGTGCGGCAGCCCGAGTTTGACCGGTGCTGGTCCCGGTCGGACTCGATCGGACCGGCCCTTGCCTTGTATGGCCCAGCGTTGGCTGACCTGAGCTGACTTTATGGAATATGGCAAGCCTATGTGCTGCATCGGCTTGCCGATCCGTATATCGGAAGCTCTATTCAGAGGCCGCTGAATGCTCGGCATCACCAGTCCAGCGTCGAGCATTGCTTGTTTCTGTAGTACCTCGCTGACCTTGCATACTTTCGTGGCCTCTGGAGTCAGCGTTTCGATGCTGCAGCCACAAGCATGAGTCGCCGCGCTGGCCAGGCTGCCTGTATACAAGGACGGACGTGATGAAGGGCTTCCTCTTCCTCATTCAGGGATCGTGGAATTGCATAAATGCATTGTTCGCCGAGTTGCTGCCATTGTTGTAGTAGCGTTCTGAGCACGTCCGCTTTTTCTTATCTTGAGTTGAGGGGGTTGTTGTGTCAACATCTGAGGCGGTTTTTCTTTCAAGAGTAAACATGCAGTTTTGTGGACCTGGGTGACGTGACTACCACTGTTATGAACATATTTTGCTGGTTAAATGTCTGTCCTCCCGTGTGCAGTGCATATTCGGAAAACGTTTCCTCGATGTTTTGAATGTGCATGCCATCTCCCTGATTCTCGCTCATTATTTCTTGTTTTCTTCCCTTTTCTCGTCGTCTCTCACTCTCTGGTGCCTTATTTTCTCACTGTCTTTCTCCCATTCGTAGTTGCCGTCGTGCTATATGATTGGTCTGGCCCGTTTCAAGGGCTCTCGTGGATCGCTGGCTCCCACATCAAGGGCCGTCGAGTGGTGGCACTCCACGGGGTGACGCGACCCTATGAGGAACACGGGCCCCGACCCGATGGCTGGCCAGCGCTGGGTGCGGGACGCCGGCGCCCAGCGCTGGCCGTACCGAGCATTTCGAGGTGTTGCTGAAGCAGCCAGATCTCTGGCTTCACTACTCATGCCGTGTGAGCGGAGACGCAGCTGCGGTGATGGTGGTTGAGCTGTGGCCGCCTTGCAGCTCGCCAGGCAGCCACGACAGCCTGCTTGCTGAGGCCCGGTCTCGCCCGCCTGGCCGCTCAGGGCGCGTCCGATCAGCGTGAGCGGCCGTTATTGAGTTTGGCGGCCGGGGGTGGTGGGCGTGATCCGATCATGGTGGGCCGGCGGACGCAGGCAGCCGATTTGTCATGACAGCCGGCCGACGACGCCCCCGGGCGCTGTTTGTACGCGCCGCGGCCGCGACCTTTCGACCTTGGCCGGTGCCTTGCTGTTGCGAGGGCGAGGGCGCGAAGACGGGAGGCGTGGCTCAGCCGAGTCCGTGTCTGTGCGTGCCAACGGGGGGCGTGCTCAACGATCCGGTCTGTGCGGTTGCCAACGGGGGGCGTGCTCAGCCGATCCGTGTCTGTGCGGTGCCAACGGGGGGCGTGCTCAGCCGATCCGTGTCTAGTGCGGTGCCAAACGGGAGGCGTGCTCAGCCGATCCGTGTCTGTGCGGTGCCAACTGGGGGGCGTGCTCAGACCGAATCCGTGTCTCTGCCGGTGCCAACGGGAGGCGTGCTCAGCCCGAATCCGTGTCTGTGGCGGTGCCAACGGGGGGCGTGCCTCCGCCGAATCCGTGTCCTGTGCGGTTGCCACGGGGGGCAGTGCTCAAGCCGATCCGTGTCCCTGGTGGAGCCGGCGGCGCGGCTAGCGTTAGCCGAATTGACCGCTGCGGCAAGGCTGACGGTGTCGCTGTCGTACATGTGGGGCCGGCCATAGGCTGACGGTGTCGCTGTCGTACATGGGGCCGCGTCATAGGCTGACGGTGTCTGGTGCCGTACTAGAGGGCCGTGCCGTAGGCTGACGGTGTCGGTGCCGTACGTAGGGCCGCGTCATAGGCTGACGTGTCGTGCCGCACATAGGGGCCGCGTCATAGGCTGGCGGTATCGGTGCCGTACATAGGGCCGTGCCATAGGCTGACGGTGTCGCTGCCGTACGTACGGCCGCGCCACAGGCTGGCGGTGTCGGTGCCGTACATAGGGCCGCGTCATAGGCTGGCGGCGTCGGTGCCGTACATAGGGCCGTGCCATAGGCTGACGGTGTCGCTGCCGTACGTACGGCCGCGCCATAGGCTGGCGGTTGTCGGTGCCGTACATAGGGCCGCGTCATAGGCTAACGGTGTTGGTGCCGTACATAGGGCCGTGCCACCGTGACTGATGATGTCACCGCCGGCCAAGTTTTCCGTGGGTGGGACTGTATCGAGGATACAACAGAGATAAACGGCGGCGTGTTTGGCCGTGAAGTGGCCCTGGGGCGTGCTCACGGTTCTGCAGCCTGAACAGACGTGGTCGCTTCTAGGCAGCCCTTCGTCGGCGCCTGATGGACGTGACGATACCGGGTATTGAATGGGCCGGAGCTGCACTGGCTCAAGGAGTGTGTGTTTCAGCTGCTGCTGGTCAGAGAAGTGTGGGAGTCGGCTGCTACTGGTTAGAGCAGTACGAGTGTCAGCTGCTCCTGGCCAGATGGGACGGGCGTGGTTGTGTGTGGGATCTGGGTTGTGGGTCTGGACTGCGTTCTGTAGGTATAGCCACACCGTAGTGGGGAAGAGAAGGATGGGGGTGGATCATTGTTTTGCGCGGCGAGATTTTAGCAGCGACCAACCTTCATCAACATGACCATTTAGGAGCGGTGTCGGCATGACGCCCGTACCGATCTTCGATAGTTCTCTCACTGTTGACCTCCGGTGTCTCACGTGACCTTGGCCTGTCTACGCAGCAAGCAAACGCCATGTACCGTTCCACAAACGGTGCCCGGAGCGTGTTGTCAGGCATGGTCGATTTGCGTCACTCCGGGGTCCTAATGATGCGATAAATGTGCGTGCCCTTGCTTGTGGCCGGCTCCCTGGCACTCCAGCTCCGGCAGGCGTGCAGGAGGTCGGCTCTAGTCACCCCCGGCCATCCGGGCCAAGATCAGCGCCTCAGACCGCTGGGTTGGAGCAGGCCGGGGCCAACAGATGCCCATCACGCCCACTGGCCAACAGATGCCCATTTCCGTTCTTTTATCAAAAGTCTGTGTTTGCAGTTACCCGTTCATTAAAGCCATTTAAGCAATGGAAGGCTTCTACAGATGTCTCAACTTTACGACAGGCTGTATTGGAAAATCCATTTCGTCTTAACGCATTGAAAAGCCGTCAAGCTACAGGCTGCGTCGCCTAACAGCATTCATTTGAGATGTAAGCTCGCCCATGCATGGTGAGCGGGCGCGGCTCCGGAGCATTGCTGAGTTGCCAACGCTGAATAATTTCTTAACGCAAAACATGCTGGACAGCAGCTGCGTTGCATCTCGCAAACACTCACCGCCGCTGTGTTTTAAGCACATCAAGCCCACGGCAAGTTACACGCTCAGCCCCAAGCCGTGTCGTCTGACAGCTCTGATTTGCAATGTAAACACGTCCCATGTGAGGCCGCTGCCGTTCCCCCTCGCTTCCCTCCGGCAGCGCTGCTGCTGACTTCCGTGACCCCGGTGGACCCGGTGTAACCGCCGTTAACCTTTGCCTCCTTCGCCAGAGTCTGTGCCGGCGAGATGCCTCTGCTGAGCCCTCGGAACAACGGCCGAATGGCCCACAACAGCGTGGCGCCAGCCAGCTCGCAGCTTCTACACCGTTGAGGTGGGGGATACGAACGCGCTGTCCAGAATCCTGAAGCGTTACCAGAAACCTCAAGTCAAAGCGGTTCCGGGGCGCCCAGGGCAAATCGTCTGGGTGAGATGCCGGCTTCCCTCCTCATGCACTACCGCCTCCATCTTTCGCCTCCGCCCCCGCCCCCGCCCCCGCCCCCGCCCCGCCCCCCGCCTCCCCAGCTTCGCCCCCCCGCCCCGCCCCCGCCCCCGCCTCCGCCTCCGCTCCGCCTCCGCCTCCGCCTTCACGCCTCCTCCGCCTCCGCCTCCAGCCTTCGCCCTCCGCCCGCCCCGCCCCCCCGCCCTCCCCGACCCGCCCTCGCCTCCGCCTCCTCCTCCGCCTCCGCCTCCGCCTCCTCCTCCGCCTCCGCCTCCCCTCCGCCTCCGCCTCCGCTCCGCCTCGCCTCCGCCCCCGCCCCCGCCCCTCCCCCCGCCCCCGCCCCGCCCCCGCTCTGTCTCCACCTCCGCTCCGCCTCCTCCGCCTCCTCTCCGCCTCCCTCCGCCTCCGCCTCCGCCTCCGCCTCCGCCTCCGCCTCCGCCTCCGCCTCCGCCTCCGCCTCCGCCTCCGCCCCCGCTCTGCCTCCACTCCCCCTCCGCCCCCGCCCCCCTCTCTGCCTCTGCCTCTGCCTCCGCCTCCGCCTCCGCCTCCGCCCCCGCCCCCGCCTCCGCCTCCGCCGCCCGCCTCCGCCTCCGCCTCTGCCTCCGCCCCCGCCCCCGACCCGCCCCGCCTCCGCCCCCGCCTCCGCCTCCGCCTCCCCGCCCCGCTCCGCCTCCGCCTCCCCCCCGCCTCTGCCTCCGCCTCCGCCTCCGCCTCCGCCCCCGCCTCCGCCCCCGCCTCCGCCCCCGCCCCGCCCCTGCCCCTGCCCCCGCCTCCGCCTCCGCCTCCGCCTCCGCCTCCGCCTCCGCCCCCGCCCCGCCCCCCGCCTCCGCCTCCGCCTCCGCCTCAGCCTCCATCTCCGCCTCCGCCTCCGTCGCCTCCGTCGCCTCCGCTTTGTGAAGCGGTCCTGAAGCTCCCGCCGTCATCGGCGGCGGGGTTGAGTCACATGGGTGCTCGGTAACGCTCCGCCCTTTCGGAGTTGGGTTGATGGTACGATTGCGCCATTGGATGATACGACGGTGCCATTTACAACGTGCTCGGGAGATCTGAAGCTGTGCGAACCCAGACCATACCCAGACGGATCTGTTTGTAACCAAATAGCACCGCTGGCCTTACTAGCCAACGCAAAAGAGGTGAGCTGCGATCCATAAGGTATATTTGTGCTAAGAGTTCTGTTTCTTTGCGACAATGAATCTGCAAAGTTTTATCCATGACGGGGCCCCGGTGGGAAAGTGGCCCACGCGGCGCTGCGTTCGTTGTGACTGCGTTTTAGTCCGAAGAGTTACGGCAGAAGGTAAAGCATTCAAGTGGTCATATTTAAGGTGTTCTTGATTTGTTGTAGTTGAAAGCCGCGCTTTACAACGCAGATTGTTTTCTCGTCCCAAGGAAGATGGAACTTGTTGAAAACTTGTGGGTAGTCTATGGCCTACTGGCCTATAAACTATGGCCCCTGGGTGACTGCAGATGTTGGACCTCACTGAGCTGCGTTTTAAAGCTGAGGCCTGGGGGTGCTTCAGGTGGACTCCTCGTGCCGCCACACGCGGCGTATTTTGAGGCCGAACCACATGGCTGCAGTCGCTGCCGTCGCGTTAACAAACTGGGCACCGCTCCGGCGTCGCAAGTCTCGCATCCAGCTGGCCTGCGCCTGCGCCGGGCAGTATCTCCAATTATGAAACAATTGGGAATAGCGGCGCTGTGTCGCGTGCCAATTACTGAATTCCTAACGAGCATCTATTTCGGTAGTTATTAAGGACTTCATTATTCCCGGGCTCGCAGGCGTTTTAAAATGAAACTTCAATGGTAAAATAGTCCAAGACTATCTGACCATCCGACCATCTGAACAGCACAGCGAGGTTTGCTGGTGACGTCAGGACTTCAGTTGTCAGCAGCCCCAGTAGAGCCAATGGCTGTCCATGTAGAGCAGTGGGCAGCCCCAGTAGAGCTGATGGCTGACCGCGGTCGGGAAATGTGCAGGGTTTCCGCTTGGCGGGCAGCTGTGGTCGCTCAAATGCGAGGGAATGTTGGGCTGGGTCTAGACGGTCCAATGCGTCCTCGACGGACTGGACGGGGTTCAGTGCGGGACCCAATCCAGCGTCGAAATGTGGCGCCGATTAGTTAGTGGTGCCTGCTGTGTGTCGCCCCCCCAGCAGGGGGCTAGGGCTGGTCGGGCATCAGCTGGTGGGCTGCCTTTACGCCGCCTGACGCGCGCCGGGTCCGTCGGCCGTCCGCCCGGCAGCTACCTATGGTGCGCCGACGGCTGGGGAAGGCGCCGGCCGACCAGTCAGCCGCAACTCAGGAATAGTCGGGCGGCCGCGTGCTGTGCCGAGCCGGGCGGCCGGTGGTCTCACGCAGGACGCAAGCGAGGCGCTGCCACCTCGGCGAAGGCTTAGCGCACAGTCGGGGGCGCTCAGCACCGTGGGCGTGGCGCAAACATGGAACAGGAATGCTTTGATTTGAAATGCACCCAGACAATGCAATGCATGGCATGACAGTAAGCAGCATCACTGCCCGACGTTTGACCTGACCTTGGTGAGCAGCCGTGATGGGCATCAGACATTGACTAACAGGTAGCAATTTTGAATTTTTTTGTCAGTTAAAAGTTTCAAGTACAGCGTAGTAAGAAAAATATTGCCGGATTTAAGTTGCCCGTAGCACGTAATTGACTGGTCACATTGGCGAACGCATAGATGTAAAAGATGCACCAAGCAATGAAAATGCGTGACATTCATTGTTCACACTTGGTCATCACTCAGGGAACTCTTAATGGCGTGTGCTCTCCAGTTGCTAGTCTTTCTGAAGGAGGCAGAGGTTCACGAGCCCTTGCAGGTTATCGAACTTCCTGGTGCACAGGTCTGATGTGGTCTAGTTTACTACCTGGCCGGCGACCCAACTCAGGTCACCCAGGCGCTGCAGGCCCGCACGGCAGACCTGGCATTTTAGGACCACCTGTATATAAACATTTGGGCGTGGGAGGGGAAGGGTAGGTCTGGCGAGTCAGCTAGCCAGGGGCGCATGTCTGTCCCCGTGTCAGGCAGCCAGGGGTGTCAGTCTGTCCGCCTGTCAGCCAGCCAGGGGTGCCTGTCTGTCCGCGTGTCAGCCAGCCAGGGGTGTCACTGTGTTCGCCTGTCAGCCAGCCAGGGGTGTTGCTGGGGGCTCGCTGTCCGCTGGGGTGCTTTATCCAGGTTGGGGGCCACAGGTAACGTATGGGTAGCCGTCCTGTCATGTGGATGTCAGTTCATGCCATTTTGCTCTCGAGGTCGTGCTCGAGCTGCCTCCCGAAGCGCTCTCAGCATGCTACCACAACCGCGTTATATACCACACCGGCGTCAGCGCTCCAGCCTGCAAACGCCGGCGTCCTCCACCACTCCTCTTATGATCGTGACCGTGGGCCCACTGAAAGAATAAGGTGGTGACGAGGCAGGCCGCCTGACCCCGTGACGCAGCACAGTGTCACCTTTTGACTTGTAGCGGGCCCGGCGGGGTGTTTGGCAGCTCCGAGCTCACCTGACCTCGTGACGCAGCACAGTGTCACCTTTTGACTTGTAGCGGGCCCGGCGGAGTGTTCGGCAGCTCCGAGGCCACCTTCCGTTCGCTTCTGTCGCTCAGATGCACCCTGCAAGTGCGAAATTGTTTTTGCACAAGAGGCCTGAGTTTTGAGTTAAAGCCTGAACGTCCGTATGTTGTAACGCTGGATTTCGTAGGCAAACGCACATTGACAGACTCCGTGCCGGACTCAGACAGACTCATGGACAGTTCTTTGCTCCGGATTGAGCAGCACCATGCTGCCAAGTAAAGTTCGGTCACATCAACTAAAACTACGGGGCACATGCTATCGAACGAAACAAAAGTGCATATAGTTGTGTGGTATTACGACCCACCATGCGCGTGTAAAATGAGGACACGTTTTTCTTCCTGGATATATATATATATATATACATATATATATATATATATACATATATATATATATGAATATATATATATATATATATATATATATATATATATATATATATATATATATATATGTCTATTTGGTTTAGTTACATGCGGTTATTGTGACCCTTGATCTATCCGCTTTTATTTAAAAGCGACAATGCTGTAAAAGGCCACTGGCCTAATTGGTAAATGAAACATAGCCGCCTATTGTGGCCATGTCGTGCATGTTTGATGACAGGTCACGGTGAGGCTGCCTGCTGGCTTTGCTGCCGTCTCGACCCTGGCCTGGTTGTGGTCAGTGGCTGTCGGGCCGTCCGCCGCAGGCAGCGGCTGAGCGGAGGGACGCTCGATGTCGCCCCCGTCGCTCGCTGCGACCGGACTGGTTCAGCTGTCAGCGTCAGTATCGAGCCGGGGCCAGCCGGAGCCGGCAACAGCGGCCGGAGTCGGACTGCGGCCGCCGGCTGACGGCCGCCGGTCCAGGGCTTCCAGCTGACTGAGCTGGGCTGGAACCTGTCGGCCGCCGGCTGACGGCCGCCGGCCCAGGGCCTCCAGCTGACTGAGCTGGGCTGGAACCTGTCGGCCGCCGGTATGAGTGTGAATGGTGTGAGCGGGGAGCGCGCGCAAACCGGTCCAGCCGAGGCAGATGAAGAGTGATGGCCACCGGGGGTGCGGTGTGCAGCTGGAGAGTGATGGCCACCTGGGGTACGGTGTGCAGCTGGAGAGTGATGGCCACCGGGGGTACGGTGTGCAGCCGGAGAGTGACGGCCACCTGGGGTACGGTGTGCAGCTGGAGAGTGATGGCCACCGGTGGTGCGGTGTGCAGCCGGAGAGCGATGGCCACCGGGGGTACGGTGTGCAGCCGGAGAGTGACGGCGACCTGGGGTACGGTGTGTAGCCGGAGAGTGATGGCCATCGGGGTTGCGGTG